ATATAGTTTTTATTTTAAATAAATAATACTACATAAAAGTAATGGGTTATAAGAATTGCAAACAAGGAAAAAAAATAAAGCTTAGTTACTAAATCACATTTGAAGTTATGTATCATTATTTTGGTGTGATACTATTCAAATTCAAAATTGAATAATTCTAAGGATGCAAAATGTAATTGTTAGTATCACACGATATATGATACATCTCATGTGATAAGTTACTAGGGGTATTCATCAATCGATCCAAACCAATTCAAACTGTAGTGATCGAACTGAAAAATTGAAAATCGAAAAAAAACGCAAATTTTAATTGGATTGGATTGGATTTCAGTTTGGTTGATAAAAATCGATCCAATCCAAACCGATCCAACTTATTAATTCCACTCTACTTACTTGAACTTTTCTCCAATCATAGCCTAAAAATTTCTAAACCCAAGACCCATTAAACCATCAACTAAATCCAAGAAAAAATCTAGTCACACCCCATCAGCAAAATTTCATCTGTGTAGAACTTCATATTTCATTACCCAAAAAAATTATATTATCGTTTACTAAAAAAAAAATTTACAAATCCAATATATATATAAGATATGTTATTGGGTTCGCTTTTTCTACAATCAATGTAGATAACTTATCTACATTGAGCCCAAAACGACGTCATTTTGAAGCGGAAATCAAGGTATTTTAATAATTATAATTTATTTCAGGGATATAATAGTCTTTTTTATTATAATTTTTAATAGTCTTTTTCATTATAATTTTTTAATTTTTTAACTCAAAATGACATCGTTTTAATAGCGAATGTAGATAACTTATCTACATTCACTTTAGAAACATTAAAGCCTATGTTATTTGCACAATAATCATGAAATAAATTTTAGGCTTTTCAAAAAATCAAAAACTGATCCAATTCAAATCGAAAAAAATTAGATCGAATCAGATCGGATTTGAAAAAAATCCAAACCGAAGGAATTGGATCAGATAATTTTTTCTTCCAAAACAGATTCAATCCAAACCGCAAACATCCCTGCTACACACTGAGTGATATGAATTAGTTACGACTTGTGTCGAGATTGATTTTAATCATTATATCTTATAATTCAGTGTCGAATTATATATCGTATTACAATTTACGATTTCAAAATCCAATCAAGACTTGCAATTTTCAATTAAAAAAATAAAATAAAAAATCTCTTCATTCTTAAAAAAAGAACTGATATAAATCTGAAAAAACAAACTTAACAATAAGATAATAGATTCTTTTAATTTATAGAAGTTTTCAAAGAGCTACAGTACAAACAAAAGGAGAGAAATCAAAGGCTTAAAATGATTATTTATATTTTTAATTTTTTTTAATATATTTCTAAATTTTTTGATTCGATTGATACATCATTAAAAAAAAAACAGCCAAACGATATACAATTCGAACAACCAACGATTATTAGTTGGCATAGTCATTGTAATGTATATACCCTCTACGTATGTCTATGAGAAGAAAGAGACATTGAAAGAAAGCACTCCACTCCTATAGTTAAATATCCTTCAAAAGTCAAAACCATTCATTTTCCTTAATCAAATTTTGCCCTTCGAATTTTAAGTTACGTAACGAAAGACTATGAAAAGATATAAACGAAATTAGATCATGTGCTGCATGTTGCAAGTGTCAAGCCTCATGCATAGCAAATTAAAAAAAAAAACAGAGCATGACGACAAAGTTATAAATAACTCGAAATTAATCGCGGTTGGTGTACCAACGCATTATTTGTGAGCATGCCTCATGTGAAATGTTTAACATTTAATGTGCTACGCAATATTGAATTATAAATGTAATCGCAATTAGGCATTTGGAATATATCAATAGAGCGATAATTGAATTGAACGAAAACTGCTTATACATGAAATAAGGTAAACTGTTATCAAAAAATAAAATAAAATAAAACAAGGTAAACCTTCATGATTGGTCTACAACTTTATTGAAGAAATTAAGTAAAAAAATCAAGGAATGATTTTTATCAGTCGGAGGACCATTTTTCCAAGAGGTTCCAGGTGAATCCATCCCAGCTATGATAGAAACCTTCCAGTCTAATCGACCAATAAATAGTGCCATGGCCTTTGTCCCTCCTAGACAAGTAAGTGTCCCAACTAGTAAACCATCGCGACCATGAAGCAACGCATCCAAAATCTTCATCCACATTGATAGTTTTGACGTAGTGATCACCCACATCAACGTAAGAAAAAGAACCTCGACCACAACGAAGTTGTAATGGCACGTTGCCGGTGCGGGGCAAGTCATTTCGTATGTCAACAATAGCGTTTGGAGAAAGTGTTGATTTGCTGGCTATTTCATCTGGTGTCTCAAACATATTGTATGACCTAGCAAGCATTGATGTGCTTAGGAAACACAATGAGAACAAGACTAGAACGAGGGTGAAGCTCTTAGAAAAAGCCATTGTTTTTTGTGGTGATGAAAATTGATGAAAATTGATCCATCTTATATAGAGTCCTTGCAATTCTCATTGGGCCATTGGCACATATTTTGGATCGACAGCTCACGTATTTGCAGTTTGTGTACCAATACATTAATTATTTGCTAACAAATCAAGAAAGAAAGAAAATATGGAAATTCTCACATGATTTCTTCCTTGATTGGCGAGAAACGTTGTTATTGTTTTGAGGAACAAGTTTTGTAACCGATAGAATAAATCATATAAAATTTATAGAATTAATTTCATCGTAATTAAATATACCAAATTTTTTAAAATTAATTTAAATTTTTATTACCATTTCGTGATAAACAATCCAAAACTTGAATTTTAATTTGTATCTTATTTATGGAAAAAAAATCATTAATATCTTATTAGCTATTTCGACTTTTTTTAGTTTTAATTTATTAAAAATGATTCAAAATTTGAACTATCAATTTCATACATGATTTCTTCCTTGATTGGCATGATTTCTTTCTTAAAATAAAATAAAAATTCAAATGCACACAGCTGTGAAAGAATCAATTTTGACTACGTTTTTGAGCAATTTATTATAATTTTGTTAATATTGGATGCATGGTAAACTTAAAAAAAAACACAAAGAAAGTTCTAATGATTTTATTATCATAAAACATACTTAGTAATTTAAAAAAAAAATATTTGGACAATTGTTTCAAAATTTCAATGAAAACACGGTTATTATATTTTAAAAAATGTCATTATGTTGTAATGTTCTGTAATAACATGAAGAGAGAGTAATTGAGGTTATGAATTGGTTCTTCTCAATTCTCTTTAAAATTGAAGGAGCTCATGTAATTTTGAATAATATATTAGTAATGGATAAAGTGTTTTCCTTGTTACGTAACATAATTAAAATTATCCCATGTGATCGTCGTTCCCGGGTTGGGGGAAATTTTATTATGAAAAAAATTAATAGTTTTAAAATAATTCAAAATTGCAAAATTAAATTTTCCCCAATCTCAAAATAATATCATTTTCTAGTCATGGGAAATATTTTTTGTTAATATTATTGAAATAATTGACTCTAGTTAAATAATCAAAATCAGTTTACCGAAAAAAAAAACAATCAAAATCAATCAAGAATTATTATGATTAATGATGATATCGAATATTATTGCCTAGTCAAACGATCAAAATCAATCATAAGTTAACGTAAATTAATTTGATTTAGGAATATGTGCAATAAATAGTTTTATGATTCCAATTCTTTCCTTATTTCGTTATCCTATTCATTTTCTGTAATTTGACAGATTTACGAATATTCCATTATGATTTTTTAATTGCAAATTTGGGTCCTAAAATCATGGTTTTAAAAAAGAGGCAAGTTATTCTTGACAGGTGCAAAAATAACAAATTTTACATCATATCTTAATTTATTTTTGTGCATCTAATGATTAAGAATTATTAGATCATATTAATTAATTATTTATTATGACTCAATAAATTTTAACCGTTAGATGCACGGTTAAAATATGATGTAAGAGTTGTTATTCTTATACTAGTGTAAGTTGATCTTATTCCTTTAAAAAAAATTATCCCATTTTCTACGTGATATTAGGGTTATAATATATTATGATTTTTTTTATGAGTTACTGTGATTTATGATAATGGTTATTATTGCAAATTTTGGTAAACGAACAGAATTAATTACGAATCATTGTGATTTATTTTGATTTGGGAATTTGTGTAATAGATAGTTTTAGGATCCCAATTGTTTCTTTATTTAGCTAGGCTATTTATTTTCTCTAATTTGACAAATTCAAGGCTGATTTTATTCAAATTGTTTTTTTCGGTAGAGTTGGCTAATAATTGTGTACTAGCATATACTTTTTAGGCCTTTTTTTTATTCGTGTGGCATTCCTGTTTTTGTGTTTTTTAATTGAATTTTAAAGTTAATTAACATTGTATAAAATGATGTTTAAAAATAATTATTGATTAAAATGATAATGAGCTTATTTCCCTTGACCATGTGTCTTAGTTCAAGCTCATAATTGAGAAGAGAATTTCTCTTTTCAATTTTGTGGTTAGCCCAAGTATGTTACTCGATCTTATTCAATTTGAGTATTATTATTTTTTTCATTTTTTAATCTTGTTAAACTTAATTAAATAAACTTAATTACTTTAATTTTATATTCTAAAATATTTTAACATAAAAAAATATTTAACTATCTTACATTTTTTAAAATAACACACGTTTAATTGACAAGTTGCAATATTTGGATCACAATCAAGACATTTATCAAGCCCCATTGAACAACAATTTATGCCTTTTCTGTTATTGGCAATGCTGTTACAGATTTTCAATTATTTCATTCATGACTAGTGTTACTATCAAGCACAACATATTCATTCCAAGGGATAAATGATTTAAATTCATTACAAGGGAAAAATTTGTTAAATTTTGAGTTTCCAAAATCTGACAATGGAGACAAATCATCCCATGAGGACCCCGAAAGTCATATAAAGTCAGCTACTTTTGTGTCTGAAATGTTTGAAATGGAGCCAGGACTAGTTGCGGGGAAAAGTTTTTATGATATTGAATTCCCGAAAGGTCACATTGGAGTCAAGAGTTTTGATGCTGAACTAATTGATGAAGATGGGAACTCTGTACCTTTGTATGAAACATACCTTCACCATTGGTTTGCTAAAATGTTACTGTTGCTAGCATGCGCGGCGGCTCTAAGGTTCGTCCCAAGAATTATGATGGTTTCATTTTCAAGAGGAATCAAGGCATGTGCCACGACTTTATTCTTCCACTTTACTGGGGCTTAGGAGTTGAATCACGAGGAACAACCTCAAACCTTCCAGACCCTTTTGCAGTAGAACTACATAACCCTGCAGAAATTCCAGATGGGTATGAAGAGAGGTGGTTATTAGACATATTGGCCATTGATACACGTGGTACACAAGATAGGAAAGGTTGTACTGATTGCAGATGTGACCTTATGAATCTCCCTAAGGACTTTTATAATGTCACAAAAGGCATTTATGGTGAGCCACTGACCCCCGATTATAAAGGAGGACTCCTATGTTGCAAAGACAACTTAAAATGCAAATTAAGAGAGGGTTTTGAAGGCCCAAAGAGAAAGCTTGCCCTAAGATACAAAATAAGGTGGGTTGACTGGGACGAAAAACAAATTCCTGTTAATTTTTATGTACTTGATTCGACCGATAAAATCAAATCCAATGGTTCAACTTCATTCCATGAGTGTCAGGTAAATATGTTTGTTATCCAATGCATTTTATAATTACACTTTTCAATCTATTAATTTGTTTGGAGTAAGTGAGGATTAAAGATTTATTAATTTGTTACAGGTAGAATTTACTATTCCGGCAAATGGTAGCAAGGACTTTCCTCATGTCCAGAAAACAAAAATTCCAATGCAAAAAGGTGGTTATCTCATTTATGGAACGGCTCATTTGCATTCAGGTGGTATTAATGCAACTCTATATGGAGAGGTACAGATATCTTAAGTATTTCCCATCATTCTTTGTAATTTAAATAATATATATCATTTTGAGAACTGGAATAGACATATTGCAATGCATCTTTAATAATACAATTTATATTTTCTATTAATATAGGACGGAAGAACTCTATGTACCTCAATAGCAAAATATGGAACGGGAAATGAAGCCGGAAATGAGAAAGGTTATGCTGTTGGAAGGTCTGTTTGTTATCCAAAACCAGGTTCTATCAGGATTAAGGATGGTGAAATTTTGACACTAGAAGCCAGATACGAAAACGGCTTTCTAACTGGAGCTATGGGACATATGTATATCTATTTGGCAGAACGACTACCACACGATACATTGACATCCTAATTCCTCTTATCTACATATTTGCTTCATGTACTGCATATTCCAACAAATCATCGATCATCTTATTCCTTGAGCGAAAAATAATTGGAAAGTTTCTTCCACTTGCTAAAGACAATTATTATTGTACTTTTAATGCGTTATTAATTTTATGATTGTGCGATGTCTTTGTTGTACTATTGACCGTGGATAAACATTTTTTTTCCAGTACAAATTGTGCTATGGTAAACGTTATTACTTACTAGCTATTATGACTCTTTGATGTATAACATTTCTACTACGTGAAATGCTTTTAATAATTGATTTAATTTTCTTTCCTATTTCTCTTTGCAATCTAATAGCGTAAATTATTTTTTTTAAACAATATTGCAAGAGGGTAGCCATCACTTGTCAATTTGTTAGCAAATTTACTAGCCAATTTTGTTCTTCAAAGCTAATTGGTTATCAAATTTGCTCGCACCCTTATAATATATGGATTTGGTTCCTTTAAACGCCGACATAAATTTTAAAGCAAAAATATAGGTTATAACTTTTCATTTGAAAATTGGAAGAAGTAATAATTATCACCAAGTAAGCTTATCACCTCTTATTGCCCCTCTTATAATCGTTGGATGAAATTAAATTAACGGATGTTATTTGATATTAATTTTCTTTCTCTCCAATCGCTTATTCCCCCCTCTATCTTTCTTCTTTCTCTTTCCGTCATGTTTTAATGATTACTATTTAACATTTACTAAAATGGTAGTAAGAAGTGATAAAGAAATTAAAAAATAAAAGAATAATATATAGTTTTATGCGTACATAAATTTTATCACAAGTTTAACAAATGATTTTTTGACTAATGATTATATTTTATAAAGTGCCTTTCTTTTTTAAAAAACAAAATTCAAGAACATACTAATTTACAAGCATTAAATCATGTTATTTTTGCGAGCTAGATTGCAACTCAGATTGTCGTCCTTTGCAGTTGGGGAACAACATTAGGAGCGAAAAGATGATGGAAAAAACAACAAAAATTTAAGTGATTTTGCTATTTAATAATCAATTTAATATTATTTCATATATGTCTTTGCATTTTAACTATTATTATGTCACATCAGTTCAAGTCTGTGTAAATTTTATCAACCCGTAAATGCTTCTCCTCTATTATATCTCGGGTCTAATAATAATGGATATCAATATGCTTTGATGAAGAGTAAAAAGTTGAATTTTTGACGAAGTGCATAACACTTTGATTGTCATTTTTCAACACATACTTTTCTTTCTTGTGACCTAATTCAAACAAGACATTTTTCATTCACAATTTTTCTTCACATGCTTTTATTTTTGCAATATATTTGGCTTCTGCGGCAGACGGGGAAACACATTTGTGGAGCTTAAATGTTAAGATACTTTTAAGATATTCAAGTGTGATGAGTCCTATTGGTTGACAATGGGCTAAGTGAAGTGAATATAAGTGGATGGACTTATGAACCCAATGCTTTAAGGTTTTGGGTTGAGATGTGATGACGGATCCCCTAGGTTTGCCGGTACGCGCTTTTACGTAGCCGGTATCAGTTCTGACGCCAGTTCTCATTATTTTGACTTGAAACTTGACATACTAGTCCTATATATTATTCTAGGAATATTCTCATACTTATTATAATTTTTCGGGATACTTCATCGGTACGCATTTATATAGTGAGGCAGAACCGGTATCTGCATTTTTTGTGAGAAAAGCGACTTTCAACATTAATATTCACTTATGATAATTATTCAAGCCTTCTCATAATTATTAGGGTCAATTATGGAATTATTTCCTAATTTCACATTTAATTAATTTAAATTCCTAAATTAACGGTGCGGGTTCTTACAGTGGTGGTCCCTTGCCACAGGCTTCTCTTAAACCCTGCCTGATAGTTGTATCAGAGCCAGGTTAGGCTCGAGCTAGCCTTGTGATTGGCTATAGGGAAGGTTAAGTATTTGTGTCTGGGTACTCGGTTGAGTGGAAGCATACCAATAGTGGGTTTCACACTTGAGGGGATATTGTTGAGATATTCAAGTGTGATGAGTCTCACATTGGTTGACAATGGGCTAAGTGAAGTGGATATAAGTGGATGGACCCATGAACCAAATGCCTTAAGGTTTTAGGTTGAGATGTGATGTCGGATCCACTTGGTATGATGGTCTAGCCTTAGCCCATTGGTGGTTCTCCCTCGCCATGGGCTCCTCTTGGACCCGCCGACAGATACAACTCCCACTACAAAAGTAACAAAGTATCCTAACGTACTTTCTTTAGTCAGTGTCACCACCTAAACTAGGTTCACTTCCGTGCATGCTTCGAACTCAAGTTTTCCTTTCCTAAACACATAGCGGCCCAATATTCTTTTCTAAGGTTTGCCTAAAACCAGCTTACAAGACTGGAGACATAGGCAATGTCGAGCCTAGCGCAGATCATTGCATGTAGGAGGCTACCAACCACAAATGAATATGACACTTGTAACATCCCAAGGGCTAGCAAGGGAAATGAGTGATCCCCGGTGCAAAAGAGGCACGACCAATGAGCGGCCCATGCCAAATCTTGCAGCTCGGGGTTACATGAATGAATCAAATCAACACTCGTAAGAGAGGGATTTCAGAGACTATGCTAGTATGGGACGGTACAATTGGGGATAACTTATAAGAATTAATTGGTACTACCTATACTAACAAGATGCATATACTTTTTGGTAGCTCAAAACAGAAGAACTCTATAATAAAATGTAACACCCCGTGTATACCCGGTTTGTTAACATGTTGTAACACCCCGTATATATCCGGTAATGTTATCATACTATCGTATTAAGCTGCGCTTAATTAAAAATGCGGAATATCTTTTTCTTTTCAATTATGAAGTCATTATCATTACCAACTTGCTTATTAATCAATTAATAAAACATCGCCTGTATGCCCTTAATCACATGATTCTGACTTACATTAATTAATTACAGAAGTTCAACTTCCTCAAAGTAGGGTCCACAAACCCCAAGATCAGTTCTGGGTGAACAGTACGCTATTGTTCCTCGCAAACCCAGAATATCCGGATATTCCTCGGGGGCATATCCGGATATGCAATATCCGGATATCTCTCTGGAAATATCCGGATATCAATATCCGGATATCCAGATCCCCATATCCGGATATCCAATATCCGGATATTTTACGAGCAGATATCTGGATATTTCGCGACAGAATGCAGTTTCTGCATTTCGCGAAGATATCCTTCCAAGGTTCCATTTTTAATACTTCCAGAAGCTTAAACATGCATCTTAAGGTCCATTTATGTTCATATGACAGTTGGTTACTTGTTTAATCCATTAAACATACCAAGACATCAACTTTAACCCATTAAACTCATGAACAAGGTTGGTACAACTTACCAAAAGCTTAAACTCAGCAAAAGGGGTGTCCTTGGAGCTTACTACCAACTCCAAAGGTTCTGACTTCAAGGGTGCACGAAAATGCACAACAAGGTGGGTCCTTTCTTCACAAAGGTGACCACTTGGAGCTCCCACCAACAAGAAAAAGCTCCAACCACCCCAAACAAGGAACTCAGCCCCAAAACTCCTCCCCAAACAGTACCTTAACTCAGCAAAACTGAACCTCACCCGACAAGACACTCACTCAAGTGTTTACAAGGTGAAAGAGGAGAAGAAGCAAGTGAAAAGGTGACAACTTGGCCTCCAAATGGTGAAGAGAAGGCAAGGAAGCACCAAGTCAGCAAGGTGGCTCAATATTCAGAGGGAGACTCACGTAGAGGCAGCAATCAAAGACCTAGGATCATGTGCACTAAGCTTATATAGTCACTTAACCAATTAACACACAGTATTAACTTTAATTGCTACGCTTAGCATTTTAATCCCAAACTCAGGACTCTTAATCTACTCAATTTTACTAGAATTATCATATTTTTCTTATAATTTTTTGAGCACCTTTCCGGTACGCGCTTTTCATAGCTAGTATCAGTTTCTGGCACCAGTTCTCATTATTTTTACTTCAAACTCGTTTTACAAGTCTTACATATTATTCTAGTAATTATCATGAACTTATTATAATTTTCCGAAATACTTTTTCGGTACGCATTTATACCGACTAGCAGAACCGGTATCTGCACTTTTCTTCCGAAAAGAGACTTTCAGCATTCTTACTCACTTACTATAATTATTAGAGCCTCATAATAATTATTAGGGTCAATTATGGAATTATTTTCTAATTTCACATAATTAATTAATTAACTTCCTTAATTAACAGTGCGAGTTCTTACATTCACCCCACCTTTTTAGGATTTTGTCCTCAAAATCAGAATATACCTGTCTCAGAAGTCGGGATACTGCCGGAGAAGCTCGTCCTCTCGCTCCCAGGTACACTCCTCAGAAGTTCTTCCTGACCATTGCACTTTGACCATCGGAATGATCTTGCTCCTCAGCTGCTTCTCGCCACGATCGAGAATCTTGAGTGGTCCGACGGGAGTTTTCAAGTTCTCCCGAACCTCCACATCATCCGGTTGCACCACGTGCGAAGGATCCGCTACATACTTGCGAAGTTGAGACACGTGAAACACGTCGTGGATGTTGGCTGGGTTCGGAGGCAAGGCAAGCCGGTAGGCAACAGGTCCTACTCTACCAAGAATTTGGTATGGCCCAATAAACCGCGGGCTCAGCTTCCTTACTCCGAGTTCCCGTCCCACACCGGTGACAGGTGAAAGTCTCACAAACACATGTTCACCCTCACTAAACTCCAGTGGACGATGCTTGACATCGTAGTAACTCTTCTGGCGATTCTGCGCCTGCTTTAGCTTTTCCCTGATCATCTGGATCTGCAGGGTGGTATCTTGGACAAAGTCCAAGCCAAACAACTCACGATCCCCAACCTCAGACCAGCAGGTAGGTGTACGACACCTCCTACCGTAGAGCGCCTCGTAGGGTGCCATGCCCAGGCTAGCATGGAAATTGTTGTTATACGAAAACTCCACCAACGTAAGGTACCTA